TCAACTCTGGTTCTGCTTTCCATCCATAAAAGGAGAAGATTGGACTAGGTTTTGGAGATCCTTTCCAGCTTTAATGTTAAATGGTTTAATAATTCCAGCACCTCTCAAATACCGTTTTTCCCTGGTTGGCCTCTCCCTGGTACCCCTCTTTCCTGTCCCTCATTTCTCTTCCAGGTTTTCCTCTCGCCCCAGGTTTGAATAACAGAAATAGAAGGAATGAAATCTGGAGCTGGAGAGTCACTAGCCAGTCTGCCCTCCTGAGCCTGTTCGCTCTCCTCCCGACTTGTCCCAGCCTCTCCTTGACATAGGTTCCTCCTCTGTTCCCACTTCTACTTTCCCCTTATCTCTCGGCATCCAGGCATCCAGGCGGCAGAAGCTTCCCCTTCCTCTCCACCCAGCTCTTCCTCTCTCTCTCTAGCCTTTTCCTTCTCACTTCTCTTTTCCCCTCTAAAGCAATCTGTGCAGCCCCTTCCCCCAACCTCATTTTGCTTTTCTCTCTCCTTTCTCTGTCTTTTAGCCCCCACCTCCCGCCTCTCGTGGCCACACCCCCTCGGCCCCAGCTCGCGAGACATCTAGCCCCACCCCTACTACAGCTGCGCAGAAGGATGGCTGCCGGCTTCTAACTCCTCCGGAACCTGCCCCGCAACTAGTGACGTAGTTCCCCTCTCCCGCTGGCCTTCCTGATTGGCGGGTCGGGGGTCTGGCGTTAAGCAAGGAGAGCAGCCACCCAGTACCTCAGGCGTCACTGAGTTTCTATTCTTCCGCAGGGACCTGCTCCGAATTGGAGTGACTCTGGCGGGACACCAGAAGAAAATCTTGGCCAGTGTTCAGCACATGAAGGCCCAGGCCAAGCCCGGAGCCCCGGGCGGGACAGGAGGACCAGCCCCACAGTACTGACCTGCTGGAAATACCCGCCACGGAGGGCAGAGTCGGGTGGGGACTCAGAGGCCCCCATCCCTGTGCCCCACTGGATTGCACTTTGAAACCATGGGGGTGGGGAGTTGGCAATTTGGAGAAACAGGATTTGGGGGTTGTGCCATATGGGAGTGGAGAAATTACATCTCTCCCCTTCCCCGAGGCGAGGAACCCCAGACCGAGGGGGAGGGCGCCTTTCCCTCAAGACTGGGTGTGACAAAGGGAAAGGAAGCGCCCAGAATCTCCCAGCCTCCCCAGAGAGCTCCCCAGTGCTCCCCTCACCTTTGTGGGCATGTTCCTGCAGACCAAAGAGAGGGTGACTGGCCTGCGAGCTTGGGAGTGGAGAGCTGTCCCAGGAGGCAGGAAGGAGTGTCATGGCCCAGTGACAAAGTCATTGGACTTTGATGTCCTAACTTGCTGCTGTAGCCACCAAACTCAATCATTTTTCCCTTGTAAATGCCCCTCCCCCATCTGCTGCCTTCATATTGAAGGTTTTTGAGTTTTATTTTTTGTTTTTGGTCTTATTTTTCCTCCCCTTGTTTGTTTTGTTTTTCTACGGTCCTTGTCATAACTTTGTGTTGGAGGGCACCCGTTTCGCTGTCGCCTTCTTTGCCCAAGTTGAAGCAGGGACCCATCGTTGTATCTGTTTCCAGAACAGTGCCTTGGTCACGTCAGAATCCCTGACATGTCCCCGCCCCCCAAGTACCCCCAAGCTGTGTCCATGAGGGGCGGGGGGGGGGGGGGGGGGGGGGGGGGGGGGGGGTGAGGGGGGG